AATCTGATAAAGATAATCTAATATTTGAATTGATATTTCGAACTATTGAGTTGAAGATGAGAGAGAGTAAAAACATAATTGAAAATTATTTATACTAATCCCTAGGAAATTTAGGCTTGACGATTAGGGTTAAGGAAAAAAAGGTGAAAGAATGGAAGAGATAATTATGGAAGAATTATCTAGAATTGTAAAGGCAAGAGAAAAAAGAGGGATGAAATAGCGTAGGTTATTAGGGGGTTAACTCATAAAGTGCGTTGCACCTACTTGCCTTGTCATTAAGCCACATAGGAAAGAGACAAAATAAAAGGATAAAGATGAGAGTACGACTTTATTTTATATATATATATATATATATATATATATATATGATTAGACTCTTCCCACCTTTTCAAGACACGGTTCAAATTATTCAAACAAGCATCAAAAGAGGAACTATATACAAAAAAAAAAAAAAAAAAAAAAAAAAAAAATCATCCATAAAATCTAATCATATCTTTCACCATATCTAAGAAAATGGTTATCATGTACCATTAGAAGGTAGCTGGAGCATTGCAAAGTCCAAAAGACATTCTTCTATACATAAATGTACCATATGGGCATATGAAAGTTGTCTTTTTCTAATCCTATGGAACAATTGGGATTTAATTATAACTCGAATAACCATGTAGAAAGCAAAAAAACTTCTGGCCAGCCTATCTTTCTAGAATTTGAACCACAAATGGTGGTGGAAAATGGTACTCCCTTGTGGCGGTATTCAATTTCCTGTAATTAATGCAGACACACAATCTAGTGGGGGTTAATTCATCTTTCTCATTCTTTACCACTATCATTCTTCCCTTATTCAATACTACTTGCACAGGACTCACACAAGAACTATCAGAAATAGGATAAAGAATCCTTACATCAAGTAATTTAATTACCTTTGCACGAACTACTTCTTTCATATTTGGGTTGAGTCTTCTCTGATTCTCAACTGAAGGTTTAGCAATTTCCCCTATTAAAATACTATATGACCATAGACAGACTAATACATTTGATATTTGAAATGCCCCAATCAATAGCCATCTTATGTTCACGTAGCACTCTTAACAATTTTTCAGTCTCAACTTGGCTTAATAAATAATAACAAGAAAAATATCATTGGATTCTAGAAAAACAAACTTCAAATGAGCAGGTAAAGGTTTAAGTTCCAATTTAGGATAAGAATTTTCATTAATTGCAGCAATTTTTTCAAACTGCTAACTTTTTGCATATGAAAGCTCCCCTTGCCTTTCTAAAAAAGCTTCAAAGAGTTTAAGAAATTAATGTCCTTTACATTCTCATCTAAACATAATATAGTGACACTTTGGTAAATCATTAAATGACTCAGAAGCAAAAGCTTTATTGGAAAAAGTATCTAAGACATCAATTCGTAAATATGACTCATCATGATTAGCCTTTATTTTACCTATTTTGATTAGTTTTTAGGGTAAGTTTTTGGTGTGTTTTAAATTAAAATGGAAGAATTGAATTTCTTTATTAGTTACTTTTTATACAAGTAGTGTTTTTTAACCAAAACATACAAAAGTGTTGGTTAATATGCAAATTTGTGTTATTTTTGTAGGTTTTGATATCATATAAATTGATTCAAGTCAAAAAGAGTTTAACAGCTTTGATACACTTTGGTATTTTGGCTATATTTTGAGTTACAAGTATCGGATTGAGGTAATTCTTGACCCATTTTGAAACTAAGACATAGCTCTGCAATTCTTGGGAAGACAGCAAAATCTAGTTTATTGATTTTCCTAGTCAAAAGTCGAAATACATTCAGGGAAATTTCTATCGAAAGCTGAAACAGAACATTTACCGGTCATGGTTATTTTGTCATTTCTCTGCCTACAGAGATCCAAATGAGATTATTCTTAATAATTGGAAAGCTAATTCAAAGAGATACAACTTTTATGTTTTGTTCAAGAGCTAATTCGTGTTCTATCATCAAGAAAATTGGTCCAAAAATAGAGCAAAGTTGAGAATTGAGCAGAAAGTGCAAAACTAAGTACAGAGAAAATTTTCCATTTTAACTTAAAAAACACCAAAAACTTACCCTAAAACATAACTAAAAATAGGTAAAATAAAGGCTAATCAAACTCTCCCTCACTTGAACTATTGCTTGTTCTCAAGCAATTAAGAGTTACAAATCATCATAATAGTTTAAATATATCCGTTTGTACTCATGTATCTTTCAAATTAATTTCCTTAATAACAAGGTAAATCACCATTATACAACCATTCAATCTACCACAATATCAAGAATTAAGACTTGTTCAACTCATTTTCTCCCCTCAACTTAATTTCACTTTTAAACAGCTCATATAGTCAAGTCAAGACAAACAAATTCCATGACCATCTTTGTTATTCAAAGAGGCATTTATTTAATACATAAATAACTTTCTCAAGTAGTGAAGATGTCTTTTGAACTGAAAATTGACATTGGTAGATGAAGACCTCTGATTACTCAATTTCAGCACTAAGAAGAGTTGATTTGCATACTCATAATTCAAGAGCCATTTTACGCGAAAGTCAACATTTGTAGATGAAAACTTTCGATTAGTAAACTTTAAGAATCATTGAGTAAACATTTGTATTATTTCTTTTTTCTTTTGTTTTTTCTCTTTTTCTTTTTTTGTCATTGTTTAAGTAACTTCCCTCATATATAATGATCATAGAAAAAATAATGCAAATATTGACCATATTCATTACTCAAATTGTGAAATTCAATCAAGATAGGAAACTTATCAAACATGGAAAATTCAAGGTATAACTACTTCCACTTTACAAGATATATTTTTTCATAGCAAAAATTATAGTCATATAAGAGCTATTTTCAAGTCAAATAAGGAATGAAATTCTTAAAACACATCAATTTTACTTCAAAGGAAGAAATTGACTACTCATGGTCATGAAATTTTTTTAAAATTTGTGAAAATTTTGAACCATTTTTCTCTTCCCCCCCCCCCACTTAAAGTGTACATTGTCCTCACTATGTAAAAAGAAAAAGCAAGAGTAAAAAAAAAAAAAATACTCCCTCTATGGTAAATTGCCCTTTTGCTTGCAACCTTCATCTTTCTTGAATTGTAACCATTCCCCTTCATAACGAATCAAAAACATCTAAAATGCAAAATAAGGGGTTGAATTCTTCATGTGTTTGTGTTCCTTGCCAACCTTCAAAAAGTGACTTTTGCCTTAACTTTTGAAACCTACAAAATAAATGTAACAAATACAACTTAATACTTCTAATAAACATGAAAACACATTAAAAGAAATAATTTAATACATTGGGTTGCCTCTCAATTAGCACTTTTGTTTATAGTCATTGGTTCGAGTCAAAAGTGTTTCTTTTTGAAGTTCACTTTAGAGGTGAAAATGAACTATTTTCTTTCCAAGGGATAAAATTTCTCTTTCCATTCACCATCTTTTTAGCTTGTCCTATTTCCAAATCATCCTTATTATCAAACAAAGAAGAGTTAGCACGATCGCAATATGTATGAGAATTTCTTGAGAAACATTTTAAACAATCCCAAAATCTATTTGATTTCTTGCCATTATCCACTTGAACTTTAGGATTAAGGATCTCTTTTCATGTATTTAGCTTGTTTTGAACGCACGCCAACCATTCCTCCGTTAATGCTATTGCCTCATAATTTTCAATTTTCCTCTTTCTTGACATAATATCCTTCAAAAAATGAGCATAAGAGGAAATTTGTAAGATAGCATCAACGAAAGGAATATTAATTATAATTTACTTAAATATTTGAGCAAATTTCTCAAATTCCTTCTCCTTATTGCTTTGTTTCATCCTATTGGGAAAAGAATGGAGTTAATAGCATTCTTATGAGAAATATGAGAAGAAGACATATCAAACTCATTTGAAACATGATCCTTTTTACCTTCTTGTTCATTATTACTCCCATTTTCATCATTCTTTTCATTTTTATCAAGGTGATTATCCTCTAATTGTTATCACTCCCAAGAGTGATTGCATTCACATGTTCTCTAGAATTCATCTCGATTTTATTTAAAAATTCACCTGATTGTCTCAAATTAATGGAATTAGCAATATTACCTAATTGACCTTGCATATCCCTAATCACGATCATCATATTGTTCATGTTCGTTTTAACATCATCAAATCTTTCTTTTGTTTTATGAACATGTTTTTCAAATTAGCCTCTAAAGTTGCAAAACGTGACTCAAGTGACCTTGTTGAAAAATCAAGTGGATTGATAGATTTTTGTAAAGTTGATTGGTCTCTCCACCCTAAATTAGGATGATTCTTCCAATCGGGGTTATAAGTGTTTGTAAAATTATTATTTTGATGTGGTCTATTGTAGTTGTTGACATTATGAACTTGCTCCACATGAAAACAATTAGCACTATCATGATTATCACCACATGTTGAACAATAAGCAACGCTTACATGAGAATTTGAACCACTTCCCCCTTGTTCACTTAGCAACCTCTCAACGTTATCTATATGAGAATTAAACATATTTTCTAATTTAACACTTAAAAAGTTGAGAGTGTCAATTTCATACATGCCAACCGTTCTTCTTGAGTTATCTCTTTATTTGTCCATTGATAGTTGTTAGAAACTATTTTCTCTATGAAAACTTGAGTATCGTTGGTTAATTTTTTCATTAAAACTCCACCAACGGAGGCATCTATGTTGATTTCGGTTGGATAGTTAAATCCATTATAGAAAATTTGAACAACCAACAAATTGAGGAGACCATGGTGGGGATATCTTTTTTGAAGATCTTTGAATCTCTCCCAAGTTTCATGTAACGACTCGCCTTCATATTGAGTAAAACTTGTAATGTCAATACTAAATTTAGCCATTTTTCCAAGAAAAAAATATTTATTCAAAAATACTTTTGTCAACTCACCTCAAGAAGTGAAATTATTAGGTGAATAAGAATTTAGCTATACCTTCGCTTTATCACAAAGTAAAAAAAAAAAAAAAAACTTTAAGTTAATTGCATCATCACTTACTCAATTTATTTTGATTGTACCACATAAATTCATGAAATTGGCTAGATGAGTATTAGGATCCTCTATCGCATTTCCTCCAAATTGACGTTGTTGAACCATTTAGATGAGTGAGAACTTGATTTCAAAGTTGTTTCCGTTAATTGCCGGCCTTTCAATGCTAGTTTGTGCTCCCGATTCATTTAGCAAGGTATAATCCCTCAAAGGTCTTGGCTTTTGCTCCTCCATTTTGACAGAAATTTTACCTATGCTTTCCACTTCAATTTGCTCTTGTTGAGCGCATCTTCTTCCTCTTCTCGCCGTGTTTAATTCTTGAAATTGTGCTTTTGGTGAAGAATTTAATACCTACAAATAATCAAAATTACAGCTAAAAGATAGAAACTATAAAATTAGTAAAATAAAAAGAAAGTAACAAAATCTAAATTAATAAATCTTGTTTTAATTCTAGTGTTGCACCTAAATCCCCAACAACGGTACTAAAAACTTGATAGGGTATTTTCCTATACTACAAATTTTAAAACCTTGTTACTCTATTTTCGCAAGTGCATGGTTTGTTTATTGAGTGTAGAGATAATAGGTGTCGATCCCATAGGGATTTAGAATTTGGCAATCACTTTAGTTTAATCATTTGTTTTATTATCTAGACAATCAAAATTTAAGGAGGTAAAACAAGGAAAGTTAATTAGACGGTAAAACCAGTCATAGAAGATATTAGTTTAGGCGGTACGACCGCCCATAAAAGTTAAAAGTTAGTTAGGTGATACAACTGGCCATCTAGCAAAAGCAATAAATATAAACCTAGCCATCAGGTGGTAAAACCAACCACTTAGGCGGTATGGTGCAAGAAGTTAAGGTAATTATGCTTATACTTCCATGAATTGTTAAGAAATAATTTCCAAATGTATGTCCTTACTTTAGACAATGAACACTTAAGAGAAACAGTCTTGGCTAATTTCTCTAGAAATTGCTCTTGCCAATTCTTTTAAGTTCTTGAATCATCTTTAACCTATATTCATAGAGAAAAAGGTAAGAAATAAGTTCAATAAAGTTATTGTATGAATCCAACCAACCATTATTCATTACTCTGGTGAGAATAAGGTTAATGTTTAAGAACTCATATCTATTGAAGGCAATTTTTATTGCTCAACAATTATCAAATCATTCATAATTGATAGCCAAACAACTATGAAATATAAGCACAAGTTCTCAGACTAACAAATCATGAAAAAGCATAATCATCCCCTAACTATTTCAAATTAAAACTATATTTCACTCTAGAAAAAAGCTTTGCTAGATATCATATTAAAAACATCTAAATATGAAATAAACTTGTAGCAAAATATGGCAAATAAGAACAAGAGACAAATTTTGGAAAGAAAAATTCTTTTTCAATGTCTTGAATCTTGAATCCTTGAATTTCTTCACAAGTTGATCTATCAAATAAGTTTGATAGAAGGGTATTTTTACCTTCTTCTCAAGTTTTTAAACTAAGAAAGAAACTCTCAATATGACACTAGAATTAGACTTTCAATGTCTTGAAACGTGAATTCTTGAATTTCTTCACAAGTTGATCTCTCAATAAGTTTGATATAAGAGTGTTTTCACTTTCCTCTCAAAACCCTTAAACTAAGAAAGAAACTCTCAATATGAAACTAGAGCTAAACTACTTCTATCTCTACTTCTACTTCATACTACAAGGTCACTACAAGAAAATTGATCTTTACTGATAACACGTTATCATCACAAAATAGGAACAAGTTGTCAGAAATGATATTGTCGCGCCCCATTTTTCGCGATGGGAAAATAAAAAGAAGGTTTATAAAAGATGTGATTTTATTTTAAAACAAGTAAAAAATGGACCTAGAATGGGACTTAAAAAGAATGCGACAATTTGGGTCCAAAATTTAGTCTAAAAGGGTTTTTAAGAAAAAACAGGAGTCGCCACTTGGTATGGAGTTTTGGTGTACCAAGTCACCCAAAAAATAAAGTAAAACAAAATAAAACCCTTTTTGACAACTCCAGGTCTTTGAAAACAAGAGAAAATGGATTCGGGAGTCACGGTTGAAGAAAGGGAAGGCAAAGATTCGATTAACTCAAATCTAAGGCACCCTTTCAACCTAGTCTAAGCTAGTTGCGAGGTTTAGTCAAAATTTTCCTAATCTAACCCTTAATTTATCACATTTGGATGTTTTCTATATGAATGCAAATCTAAAAAATATCGCAAGGGACAACATGTTCATTCAAGGGTTTAATTGAACCAATCGCATTAATTGCGAAGGTCAAAATAAATCCTCGAAGGTGTCACAAGGATGCAAATGATGAAAAAGAAAATAAAATAAAAGAAAAGAAATTAAATTATATACATATATATAAGTGATCAAAGAAAAAGGGAATGCAACATGAAGGGTACGGGAGGCAAAAAAATTCGTGACATAATTTTCTTATACATGGATTAATAGGGTATTTAAACTAGAAAGTTATAATCGCCCATTTCCCATGTTTGAAAAATAATTATCCTAACATGAACAAGCAAATGAACTAGCTTAAATGGGATACAATTCTAAATGACATGATTAGCACCTATAGCGGGTAGGGGATAATAAAATAGGGAATATCATGCAAATGAGAAAAGATCCTAAAAATGAAAATATGCATGAAAATGTGGTGAATAGCATACAATGATGAATCTAGCGCAAGATGACCTAAAGGGTCTAGCGTTGGACTAGCCCATTTCTAAAAATCCTTGCTAGCGTTGGACTAACAAGTAAGCGGAGGGAGAAACCACAACTAGCGTTGGACTAGTGTGGTGACGTCATGCATTAACAATTCATAGTGAAACAAATAAAACATAAATTAAAACAAATAAACACATAAAAGCACGTAGCACATAACACGTAAACATAATATCTAGATGCGAAAATCCTAAGGAAAGCGGATAAAACACATAACACATAAGCCACATAACACGCAACCTATCTATTACATCGGGGAGTGCCTAACTACAAACTAGAAGGGAAAAATATAATAAAACAAATCTAATTATCCTATCTATTACATTTTTGAGGTATTTAAATACCTCTTGAATCATTATAAAAATAAACTAAACAAATATAATATAAGAAAATTTAAATGAACATTTAAATGCAATAAATAAAACATATAAAAATATATAAACACATAGGAACACATAGGAGCACATAAGAGCACATAATTGACATTGAAATAATAAAAATAGGGGTACCTCCCGTTTGAAGTGGTGACTAAATGGAGTCAAATTGTCCTATTTATACTCACAATGAACAAAAGAATCATGGCACCACTTTAATTGAAAATAATAATAATAATGTTAAAACACTAAATTCACGTTAACACGTCAAACGCAAAGAAATTTAAGAACATCTAAAAATTGCAAGTTAAATATATTCAAAAGCGACATAATTAGCTATTAAATAAAAGAAACAATCACAATAAAAAGAGTCAAAATTCATTAGGGACTGAATTGCAAAAATTGAAAAACTTTTGGGGACAAAAATTATATTTTTTCAAAGTTTAGGGGTCAAAATTAAATGAAAGATAAAATTCAGGGACCAAAGTGCAATTACTATAAGGACCGAGTTGAAAGGAATTTAAAATGTTTTGGGCGGCAACGAAACTACTCCAAAGATCAGGGGCTAAAGTGCAAAAACGGTTTCTGATATTCTTAAGAAATGGGCCACCAGGCCATCATTTTATTTCCTTGGGCCGGACACTACTTAAGCCCAACCGAAAGTCCAAGCCAAAACACAAGGCCAGCCCGTCTTCTATCACTCAGATCCAACCAAAATAAAGGCATGGGCTCTGATCTTCTAGCCCAACCGAAATCCAAAAGAAACAAAACAAAAGTCCATTCCCCAAACCCAATCAAAACTAACTCTTGGCCCATCACAAAAATAAACATTAGCCCAATTCCCTTTTTTTTTCTTTCTCTTCTTTTCTTTCTTTTCTTTTCTTTCTTCTTCCTCACCTTCTTCTCTGCTTCTTCCCCGGCGAGCTGAAGCTCCTCGCAGCTGGTGGCCATGGCGGCTGCCGGTGGCGCCGCCGCCGCCGACCGCCACCGCCGATGACCTCTCCGGTCACCAAATTTTCTCAAAATACACCCCCTCACTCGATTTTTCGCGTAGATTTCATTTCCGGAGTTAGTTTTTACAAAAAAATGAGTCGAAAGTGGTCAAAATGCCAAGAAATCAGTTCAGTTTTTTATTTTTTAAAACCTTCACATCTTCACCAAAAATCATAAAAATTATGCCAAAACCCTCCTGATAACTTCTACATTACAACTATAATCTTAGTTTGACAAATAAACAACAACAAAATAAAGCATTAAGTCAAAACAGCCCAAAAAATGAAGAAAATTATTCTAATGCTTTGAAGGCTCAAAAACTCCCAAAATTTTGGATAACCAAGCATTTTCAGATCTTTGCTAGCTAATGGTCATCCATTTAAGCAAAACATACACACCAAATTCACTCCTTTGATTCATTTTTTCATTCAAACATTTTTTCAAACATTTGGCATGCATTCACAGCACCGTTTCTTTTTTTCCTAATTTTGTTCATGACCCATCCCAAAATTTCATCCATACAACACCAACAAAAACCAGCAAAAATAAGCAATAAAAAAAGTAACCACACATACATTCAATCTAGTTAATTAAAAAAAGAAAAGCTGGAAAAAATGGAGATAAATACCTCAATGAAGAGTTTGGTCCCTTTGCCAAGATTTTTGATGAAATTGCCAAGCTCCAATCCAACCGATTGCTGCCTTGTTGTGTGCAAATGTGTTTGGATTTTGTGGAAGAAAATGTGTAGAGGGAGCCCCCTTTTTTTTTTTTGTTCCTCTTGTCTGATGAGGGAGAGAGCCGAGAGAGCAAATTGAGCCAAAAGGGTGGAGTCTTTTTTTTTCTTCTTGTCCTCTGTCCGTGAGAGAGCCGAGAGAGGAGATTGAGGAAGTAGTTTTTTTTTTCTTTTGTTTGGTTTTTGTTCTCGTCTGTTAAGAGCTAGCCGAGAGAGGGAGGGAAAATTTTTTCCTTTCTTCCTTCTTCTCCCTGGAGAGAGCCGAGAGATGTCTTGTAGCCAAAATGGAGCTTGTGTGCTGAATCTTCCAAAATGATGATTTCTCAATTAATGAAAAGACAAGTCCATGGCCATTGAGTGTGAAATGGGTTAATAGTTAATTTGGTGAAACAAAATGATCAAAATGATTTTTTGATTTTTTTTTTGATTTTTTTTTATTTTTGTTGTTTTGTTTTGTTTTTTTTTTTCTCTTTTCGTAAAGCAAACCTGCAAAAATGAGAAAATGCACATTAAAATACAAGAAAATAAATAACTTATTAAATAGAAAAATCCTGGAAAAATATTAAAAATTGACAAAAATTTGGTGTCTACAGATATTTATTGACGAGATACAAGTCATCACTAGATCGTCAGTATAGGTCCGTCGGGACAAATCAACAGCGACGACTTAAAAAGTCATCAGCGATATATTATTTTTAGTGACGACATCGAGTTGCAGTTCTATTGACAATTTTGTATTTTGTCAGAAATACTTGGACAGAAGTCATCACTAAAAATAGTAGGTTGTTGTCAGTTATATTCCCAATGACAACATTTTTCGTCACTATTAAGTTTTGAGTCAGTGACGAAATTTTATTGTCAGAGGAGTTTCTCTTGTCACCTTCTTGTTCTGTGACAACTTCATTTTGTCAATAAAGATCTTTGATTTTGTCAACCACAAATAAATACAATTTTGGAGCTAGAATTACTCACATAAAATAAATAGATATACTAAATCTAGACACTTAAACAAGCAAAACCAATTACAACATTAGAAATTACATGGTAAAATATCATTTTCAGTACACAAATGTCAAATTCAAAGTTTACATCACCATCCAAATGTTCTGATAAGCTGCATTTGTCCCAAATGTGGCATCTATTCAGTCCAAAAAACAAGAAAAGTCCTAAAGTGAAGCACGGCATGAGCAAAAGCCACTTTCCTCTCCATTGTCATCCAATCAAAGTCATATACTTTAATGTTCATCAGCCCAGTCATAATTGATGATCACCCAGAAATAGTGATTCAATGGACAATTCTGCAATAAATTAGCAAAACAAGTAGGATATAAGCAGATGAGCAAAATAGTAAAGAAAATGCAAACTTAGACTCAAAGAAAGGAGTACAGTAACAACCCAATATAGCTAAGAATTTAACAAGCCCCGATAGAAAAGTCCAACAATCATAAGCCACTTTGGTTATGATCCACGTGAAGGAAATGTAGCTATAGCAAGATATCATGGACCTCAATAACTCTTAAAAATCCCAGAATTTCATTGTCTAAACTCATAAACATAACACTCGGCTCAATCAAATCCTTTTCATACCATCTCAGTAACTAATCACTTACCATTGATAAATATAAAATCTTTTATGTGCTTCATATCCAGATCTCTCAGACTAATTATATATGATGACTCAATGTGAGCAGAAACTACACCTCCCACACTAGAAGCATTATCCTTATTGACTAAACCAAAGATGGCCAAACATCAAAAATTCCAAAACTGAGATTTAGAGAATAAAAGACAATAAAAAAAACCTTCAAGCTTAATTGCATATGACACATATTACATCTAGGCCTTCAAAAAATAGAAAGGCCTACTGAGAAAATCCTAATACATAAACCAGATCCCAAAACCTTATTCTGAGCTCATTTTTTTTGACTTACAGCTAATCTATGTTGGATAAACATGAATTTTGCAGTCAAGGAGAAACAATGTGAAGATGCATGAGCCAAAATAGAGCCAATTACCACATAATATATCCATGCAACTCTTGAAACATCACAATGTTATCACTTTGCAAAGTTCCCAAGCAGATCCTATATCGAAACCCAAAATCTCCTCTATGTGGAGGGCAAATGGAAGCAGTAGACTTGGAGAAATTATTCCCATGTTATCCTAGAACATAAGGTGACAAATTTATTTCTCTAGCAATAGTAAGCTAACATTCTGCAAGATACAGACAAGTTTTCCATTTTCTGTAACTTTTACCTAGTATTCCCATGCATACCTATGTTTTTTACAATGAAAATTCGAAACATAACAAACTTTACAAGAAGTAGACTTTACTCTAACCTTTGACATTAATTCAGTTTCATGCAGTAATTAACCAACTCCTATATCATTTTATGAGGTTACTTCTTCATGTTGTCGGGATACAACGTCTTAGACAGTTTGCCTACAAAATCATTCTAAAGGTCACCAACCAAAAGAACAGTTTGCCTACAAAATCATTCTAAAGGTCACCAACCAAAAGAACAGTTTGCCTACAAAATCATTCTAAATATTTGGGGTCTAGGTAGTTCTTAATTGACATCCAGCTCTTATCCATATTTTTTGCCGCCATTTATCCTAACAAAAAGAATACAACCATAATATTATTTTGAAGACAGAAGTTCTATCTATGCAAAATTAAACTGCCCAAACAACAGCCATGGAAATCCAATAAAGTAAAAACACATTTTCACCAAAGTCAAGCATTTCAGTAACAAATCTCCCATAACAACAATGAAAATCAAATAAAATAAAAAGACATTTCACCAAAGTCACTTATGTCATCTACAAATCTCCCATACATAAAAGCACATAAGTGTACAAGCACTTATAAGTCCTATAATGGCAGCATACTCACAAATAATGTACAAAAATAACACATATTTACCAGTAAGAAAAAGTGCAGCTTGAGCTTAGAATGATACTAAGATCCTGCAGCGAATCCCAAGCTTATGTGAAAGTGTTTTGAATGCTGCAAATAGTGAGATATGAGTATTTGGAGGAGAAAATACATAGTACATGCACTCTAAGTCAGTAATAAATGAGAAAAAGTATAATCCTTGTAAAAATATAAAGAATTCTTACCAAAATTTAAAACAAAAAACAAACACAAAGGAAAAAAAAATATGAAATAACTCTGAACTAACATAGACATAATCATAAGTGCCACTTATAGATTGTGCAAGTCTGTACATTGAGGTGTCACGAGGAATAGAAGAATCATAATGTATTAACCTATCGATTTTAATCAATCTTGACTGGATATGACCTGTGTTCTAAACATCTATTCTTTCTGATCTTTGCTACAGTAGCGTACACAATTAAGAATTTGTGACTACTAATCCAATCCTAGCTACTAGTTTGTGGGAAAATTCTATCTCTCCATAGCTACACAACTTCATATGAAAGGAGGAACTTTTTTACTAACCTGATTTGTGGGAACTGAACTTATAAAGCACTCCTCATCTTTGAAGCTCTTTGGCTTCTTCCTTTTTCAGCCAGAAACTGCCATAACATTGCAGAACGTTAATAAGTATGTATCCAAAGCTTTTAATGAAATGTCACAGAAGACTAAACAATTAAACATTCATCATGAAATTCAATTTCAAAAAGTCAATGAAATCATTTAGTGATTTGGTTTCCAAAATACAATAAAGCTCATGTTTCAAACTGTTCATGAACTGTTAAAGTTGTATGACAGCTGTTGTATCATATTACGTACCTGTTCTGTCTCATTGGACCTGTTCATTGTGTCAACATTATCAACCCTAAGTTCGCTAGTATAGATTCAGGTCAAACATGGTCCTATTGGTATAATACACTAGCATGATTTGCACGATTTTACCTTAACTGTTTAAAGCAAAATTACATAACCTGTTTGACTATAATAAATCTAGCAATAAACTTAGAATGATATGAAATTAGTGTAACTCTAAGACATTAAATAAACTACAAAAGCAATGCATTGGCAATTTCCAAACTGCAGAGTCAACATGCTAATTTTTTTAATTTTAAAAGTCTCACCAAAATATGAAAAGGTCATTATATAAAACTTGAATAAACTTCTTAAAAATCACAAATCTTCATAAAATTGGAGCAATTTTTTTCTTTAATACTCATATCAAACAGTATGACCAGTATTGCTTCTAATTAAGCAGCCAAATGTAGTCTACACAGTTCACCATATTGCCAGGAATCTTTCAATGCGGCAGCCAGAATGTCCAAGAGACATTTTTAAAACAAAAGTTAAAAAATTATCACCATGAGAAACATGTTATTTTGCCAGTCTATAATGACAACTAATATCTTATGTCCCAGAAGCCAGAGAAAAGAAAAAGATACAGCATTCCTGTTCTTGAAAGATGAAACTACACTAACATAGTTAATGATTCAATATTTTGAAAAGTAAAGTAAGAAAGTCCACAACTCTTTGAGGATTCACATATAGGATACATTCAACTTTTCGAGGATTCACATATAGGATGCATTCAACCATATTTTTGAACTGCTAAACCTGGCTTAGTCCAGTGTTTCAAGCTAAAATGTAGAAAATCAAGCAACTTCAGTTTTTGAATCACTCAAATGCACCAAATCAAACTGGATTCAGTAGATTAGCCAGTGTCTATCCGAATTGATACATCCACTACAATGGGAACTGGCCACCTTAATTTACATGTAAAAACCCAAAGCATACTCAAGAAAGCCTAGAATACTTTTCAAATTCTGATGACTAGTTTGTTATCCCCACCAAACTAAATCCGGTTTGTAGAACTCTAAAATTTGGGAAATCAACAAATTATTCATGTAAACAACCATATAAAAGTGATTGCACCCAAAATCAAAAGATTCAGAAAGAATTTTGACACAAATTTCCAGAAAATAATAAACGCAAGAGTAGGGCAAAATATTTGTAAAACAAGTTTGGAAGAAATAGGGGGGAGAGAGAGAGAGAGAGAGAGAGAGAAGGACCAACCTTTTCTTGCGATCGAAGAGTTGGAGAAGCTATTGGCCGGCCGTGGTGTGAGTCCGAGAAAGGGGAAGAGAGCTGAGAGTGAGCTGCCCGTGATGGATTTTTTCAGGTAGCTAGAGAGAATTCAGAGAGTAGCTGGCTGTGGTGTTTTGTTTCAGCTAGCTAGAGAGAGTGAGACATGAGAGGGTGAGCTGAGAGGGTGAGAGGCAAATTTTGGCTGTTGTCCGCCAGAGACAAAGCCAAATGTTTCGAATTGTCCG